TACCTCCAGAAAGCGATCTGCCAATTGACTAACAATTGATTGCACTTTTCACATGAGGAGGTTGTCTCAAAGCACTTCATAAGATTTACTGTAAAGTGTAGTGACTGCATTTTTGTAGGCAAACACAGAAGTCAGTTTGTGCACAGCAATGTCCTATGAACAGCCATTAAGTGAATGACCAATTTTGTTTCTCTCTGGGGCAGGATAATAATAATAATAATAATAATCCTTGCATTTGATATAGCGCTTTTCACGTCGGGAGGACGTCCCAAAGCGCTTCACAGAACACACTGTAAAGTGAATTGACTGTATATTTGTGGGCGAACGCGCACAGCAATGTCCACAATGTCCCACAAACAGTCGTAGATTGAAAATGACCAATTTATTATTGTTTTTGGTTTTCGGAGGGATTATTATTAGGCTCTGTGTGGAGTAAGGAAACTTGCCCATATACTCAGGATACTGAGAGAAGCTCCCTTCCCTTTTCAACTAGTGTCCCAGGATCTTCAATGTTCACCTGAACATTAAAGGGGATCACAGTTCAACATCTCATCTGAAGGAAGGCACCTCCAACAATGCAGTGTTTCCCCAGCACTGCACTGACTGAGGACTTGAACCCACAACCTTCTCATTCAGGGGGGTCTGTAGCACAGCCCAGTCTGGCTCATCAGCAGGACCTGTAAGGGCAGACCAGTCACTGGGGGCAGGGAATCATCCCACTCAGCTCCTGTTAACCCTGCAAGCCAAAACCCTATCGGGTAGGGTGGTCCAATGACATCCTGACCATCTGCGAGCAGGGCTCCCTCTGCCTCCTCGTCCTCCTTGACCTATTGGCAGCATTCGATACGGTCGACTACGCTATCCTCCTCCACCGCTTGTCCTCCCACCTCAACCTTCAAGGCCCTGTCCTTGAGTGGTTTAGGTCGTACCTCTCCCACCGTCTTCATTTTGTTTCCACAAATGGTTTTTCCTCCACCCCCCGCACTGTCTCGTGTGGTGTCCCTCAGGGCTCTGTCCTCGGTCCCCTCCTCTTCACCCTCTATATGCTCCCCCTGTGGTGACATCATCCGCAGACATGGGGTTAACTTCCACATGTATGCGGATGACACCCAACTCTACCTTTCCTCTTCTACCTTCAACTCCACGACCACCGATGTCCTGACAGCTGTCTGTCCGACATCGAGTCCTGGACGAGAGACAACTTTCTTCAGCTCAATGTGCGCCAAACTGAGGCCCTCCTGATTGGCTCACGTCAGCGCCTCCGCACCTCAGGCGCTGACAGCATCAGCATCCAAGGCCGCACTCTCCACCTCTCAAAGCCAGTCAGGAACCTCGGTGTTCTGTTCGACCCTGAGCTGTCCTTTCTCCCTCATATCCGCGGCACAACTGGCACCGCCTTCCATCACCTCTGGAACATCGCCAGACTACGGCACTACCTCACCCCTCACGCTGCTGAAACCCTGGTCCACGCCTTTGTCACCTCAAGGCTGGACTATGGGAACTCTCTCCTCGCCGGCCTTCCCGCCACCTCCCTCCACACTGCAGGTCATTCAGAACTCTGCAGCTCGTGTACTGTCCCGCACCAGACACCGCGACCACATCACTCCCACCCTCGCCCTCACCCTCACCCTCGCTCGCCTCCACTGGTTCCCCATCCTCCAGAGGATCAAATTCAAGATCCTCATCCTCACCTACAAGGCCATTCACGGCCTCGCTCCCTCCTACCTCTCCGACCTACTATCCCCCTACCTACCTGCCCGTACCCTCCGTTCCTCTGGCTCCGGTCTGCTCCACATCCCCTGCCCCAACCGCCCTACCATCGGTGGCCGGGCCTTCAGCCTCTCAGCCCCGAGGCTCTGGAACTCCATCCCCCAGTGCCTTCGCCGCCTCCTCCCTTTCCTCCTTCAAGGCCGGTCTCAAGACCCTTCTCTTTGACCGTGCCTTCAGCTCCCCTCTCGACTCTCTACCCCCTCCTCGCTCCCTCCCTTCCCTCCCCTCACCCTGACCATTTCCCCACTGCTCGGGTCCTCACCCAACTGTCCAGCGCTTTGGGACGTCCTCCCGACGTGAAAGGCGCTCTATAAATGGAATCTTGTTGTTGTTGTTGTTGTGGTAGCTGGACAAGCAGCAGGAAAGCTTGCCAGTCAGTGCTCTCAATGACAAGCGATAAGGTTCTAGTGTTTAAACTCCATCAATCTCCCAAACCACACTCTGGTGTCCCCACACCTTAGCTCTTGCCAGCCTGCATCTAAATTCTCCTGAATTAGCCAGCCAGTGGCCCGCGGGCTGGAACCGCCATAGCCCTCACCCCCCCAACCCCAACCCCAACCGCCCCCCCGAACATTTGCACAAATCTATGTCATGCTGCTTTCCATTTTTCCCGGCCAAGAAAATGTCTTTTTTATTCATTACTTACATTTATTTCACCACTGCTCGAGGGAGAGAGTGCACATTCCATTCCAGCGCACAGTAATTTCCATGTTTGGGTGGGATGCACGGACCTCTCAGTTTGGTTTGGATACTCTTAAAGGATGGCGTTGGGTTTCTGCATGTGTCAGGGAACCGGCTGACCACAACAGTATGACTCAGAGATGACAGTGTTATGAACTGAGCCAGACTGACACCAACTCTTCATCCACACATACCTTATACATTTAGTACAATTATTCCCTGTTTTTTATCTGGGTCATGCCACAAGGGGTCCTCACTCTCTTTTGCTGTGGATCTGCATCACTTGCCAACACTGGGCAACCCTCAACAACTGGATGGGTGCGTCAAATCCAGAACCTCAACAACGTGGGTCCTCACTCCACACACTTCTGTTTACCTAGCAGTAAGTAGGAACCCTGTTTTAGTTGATCGGCGGATCACTTTACAGGGGTTTAATCGTCCCTTCGATGAAATAAATAAAATCGATCGCTCACTTCACGGCTGTGTGTGGGACGCTGCTGTGCGCAATTGGCTGCCGCGTTTCGCCCACAAAATATACAGTCAATTCACTTTACAATGTATTCTGTGAAGAGCTTTGAGACGTCTCTGATGAGGCACTGTATCAAATGCAAGAATGATGATGATTATGGTGATTATTATCACCCAGGTCACACATTCGCTCTGCAAACTCTCTCTCACACACAGCCACTTTTTGTACAATAATCTACCCCTCTCTAATACAAACGCAGCTAAAACAATCTTGTGACATCAAAGCACCGGGTCAAGCAATGATCGAATGTTGCAACAGTTGACTCCAATCTTGGGTTGCTCAATGCTTCACAATAAGAACGACAACAAACACAAGAGGCGAGGCTGCGGAAAGTGAGAATCAACAGTTTAGTCTCAGTGTTGATCCAAATAGGTGGAGTACTGTAACACATGTGAACATATCTCACCATACGCCACTGTTAATGCAAATGTGGCTCATCTTTATTCACTTTTGTTTCTGGTTTTGTTATAATAATAATCCTTGCATTCGATAACACCCTCAACTGCCCTTGCTCCCCCACCATACCCCTGCCTTGACCCGCTCTGCCTTTCCCCACCTCCGCAACATTGCCCAACTCCGCAACTGCCTCACCTCTCAGGCTGCCGACACCCTCATACACACATTCGTCACCTCAAGGTTCGTCTATGGAAACTNCCCCCTTGTCGGCCTCCCCAACTCTTCCCTCCACAAGCTGCAGATCATCCAGAACTCTGCAGCTCGTGTCCTCTCCCGCACCAGTCTCCGTGACCCCATCACCCCCACCCTCTCCCGGCTCCTCTCCCCTCAGAGGATAGAATTCAAAGGCCCTCCACGGCGTTGCCCCCTCCTACATCTCTGACCTGTTGATCCCCTATCAGGCTGTCCGCTCCCTCCGCCCAGCAGGCTCTGGCCTGCATCAGCGGCCGGGCTTTCAGCCTCTCTGCCCCCACTCTTTGGAACTCCATCCCACAGTCCCTTCCCCTCGCTCCCTCTCTTGCCTCCTTCAAGGCACAACTCAAGACCCTCCTTTTTAACAGTGCCTTCAGCCGCCCTCCTACCCCCTCTGCCCTCCCTCATCCCAACCCTGTACCACCACCCCCACCCTCACGCTCGGGTCCTGATCCCTGACTGTTCAGCGCCTTGGGACGTCCTCCCGACGTGAAAGGCGCATCACAAATGTAATTTTGTTGTTGTTGTGGTTATTGTTGTTGTTACGTCTCAAAGCGCTTCAGAAAATAGACTGTAAAGTGAATTGACTGTGTGTTTTGGGGCGAGACTTGGCAGCCATTTGCACACTGCAGCGTCCCATAAATAACAACAACAACAACAATAACAACAAGATTACATTTGTATAGCACCTTTCACATCGGGAGAACGTCCCAGTGGATTGAGTGACCAATGTTGTTATTTTATTTATTTATTGGAGGGATTGCTTTACACACACACATTGCACCCAAGAAAAAATAGCACAGACTCACATACACGTGTGTGTGCGTGTGTAAAGACAAAAACACACAACTCCCCCTTCCCCTTTCAAGTGCCTATAATTTGTCGACTGCAGCAGAAAAGGCAGAGAAAAGATAGCAAAGGCAGGAAAGTGTATTGTGATCGTTCAGATTGGGTGGAGAGATAAAAAAGATGAACTTTAGCTATGATTACCATAAAGTTTGCAAAAAAAAACCTTTATTTCTTTCCCTTTATATACAAACATAAAACCCCTACCCCGCTCTAACGTAAATGCAGCTAAAACAAACTTGTGGCATTAAGCATTGAGCAACTTTGTCAAACAATAATCCAAATGACTCATGTGTTGATTGTGCAAGGCGTCTTGAACCAGTGCCATGCACACTCACTCACACACTCTTTAACAGCCACATAAAACAGGGGCGTTTCATTACATCCCTCTGTGTGTGTGTGTAGGTGTAGGTGTTAGGAAGGACACGTGTAGAATAGTCAAAAGAAAACCACACACACACATACAGAGCAGACACACACACACACACACACACAGAGCAGACACACACACACACACAGAGCAGACACACACACACACAGAGAGCAGACACACACACACACACATCCCAGGGCAGTGACACTGACTGCGAGGCATCACCATGAAGTTTAGACGATTTGGAGCAAAAAAGAGCATGAAATCGCTTGCTTACCACGGGCGCATCAACCAGAAAGACACCCAAAACCTCCTGGCTCTCTCTGGCAAAGATGGGAGCTACCTGATACGAGACAGCGAGACTGTTCCTGACACCTATTGTCTGTGTGTGCTGTAAGTAAAGTGAGAGAGACCCAGAGACAGGGGCGAGAGAAGCTCCTCCATAAAATGGACCGGGCAGAAGTGGTGCTCATTTCGGGGGCTTAGGTTTTAAATTGTCTTGACAGACATTTGATGCAGTCAACACTTTCTTCCATTCATTTGATTTGAGCTCTTCCAACTGCAAAGATTATTATTGTCATTAGCATTATCGTTATCAATAGTATTATGACTTATTATCATCATTATTGCTATTATATTATTGTTACTGTATTGTTATCATCATTAATATTATCAATATTAATCTGACTTATTATCATCGTTATTGTTATATTTATTATTGTTATTATTTTTATCATTAATATCGCGATTGTTATTATTATATTATGATTTATTTTTATTTCATTGTTATAAGGCGCCTTTATTTTGCAGTGGATTTCATCGTTTCTTTTGAACGAAATATGCAACGGATGGAAAGAGATGATGAAAGCAAGAGTAAGCCAGAGGGGGGGGGCGGGGGAGAAAAAAAGGTGTTTTTTAATTAAATTTTTGATAAAATGCATTCAATTAAATAAGTTTGGAAACACTTGGCCAAGGGAATGAAGCACTAAGTTGCAGTTAAGAGCTATTGCTTGTCCTATGAAGGGTACATTGGTAAGACTGAGTTGGTTCATGTTAGTGAGCAACCGAGCTACTCTTCTTGGCTTATTGTTTGACAGGACAATATAGTAGTCTAGTAAAATACTTGGGGGTAAAATAGTAATTATTCGCTGTTTTTAATACAATATCGCACAATAAGAACAAGTAGCATACATCTGCATCAGCCAAGGCACGACCTCTTATAGACAAAACCCAAAGAAAAGCCTTTAAAACCACATCTATCTGATGATTTTCATTTTATTTCACACATATATATTGTATCTCTAACCGTGTATCTCACGCCATTGCTCCATTTCCGAGAGGTCGCTTCTGGTTCCATCTGCAAACAGACCATCAGCAATAACAATCTTGAGATGGGTTTGGGCTCAGATCTGGGAGGTTTTGAAGGAAAATTATTGGCATTGCTTTCTAAACGGGGAGACGAAAACGCGACCTTTCGTAATGGTTTAGACGTCAAGAAAACCCCTCATTTCGACCCCCCCCCCAAATATGTGCCCGATTTTTGTAATAAATCGTTAATATTTTTGCAATTGAGTGATTTTGCAAGAGAGAAAAAAATAAGGGGAAGCGAGTCGGGAGAGGACATAGGTTTTAATCCGTTTCGTTATTATTTTAGTTCAAATAGAAACCAAATCCTTGACAATTGCAGAGCAATTTATTTTCCCCATCAGCCTCTTTAATCTTTTAATCGTGGCGAGAAAAACAAAGTGAAGGCAAAAGTTAGTCCAACTTTTCGGCAACTTTTAGTCTTAACTTTTGCCCCAACTTTTGTTCCCACGATTGGAAAATAAAATCGACATGACTAACTTCCCAGTGAAATAGACAAGACTCCAAACCCTTAACTCAACTAGTGACACAAAGCACTTGACAATAAGAACAGAGAGAGAGAGAGAGAGAGAGAAAGATCAAAGTCATTTATATATACTGTACGTATCTATCTTGCACCTTCCAGTCGTGACCTGCGAACCAAAACCTCGTCAAAATGCGACTTTGGGGAAGTTCTTGAAGCAAATCGAATCCAAAAGAGAAGGGCACTTTTCATCGTTTTTCATCCTTTTTTGACTCTTCCCACAAAATACACAGACAATTCACTTTGCAGCATATTCTGTGAAGCGCTTTGAGATGTCTCGAAGACGTGATAAGGGGCTATATCAAGGATTATTATTATTAGTAATTGTCCATAACACCTTGCGTTATATACATAGCGCCTTTGCGGATCTGGAGGTCGCATCACATAATTAAGCATTGAAGTGTAGTGACTGTGGGATTGTAGGAGGCTAGGAAAAAGTGTGGTGATTTATGGACTTTGTAGGTGGGTCATAACCAAAATATTATTTTCTAGAAATATTATTTTTCAAAATGTACCAAAATTAAGGATTTTTTTTGCTCCGCATCCTACCTTATCTTATCTTATCTTATTTGTGGCATAATTTGATCTATAATATGGAGAGGGTCAAGTGGTAATAATAATAATCCTTGCATTATTGAGATGTCTCAAAGCGCTTCACAGAACATACGGTAAACTGTGTATTTTGCGGGTGAAACGCGGCAGCCAATTGCGCACAGCAGTGTCCCACAAACAGTCGTGGATTGTTTGACCAAATTATTACTATGTTTTTGGAGGGATTACTACCCCTGGAAAACAATCCGCCAATTGACTAACAACTGGGCTCCTACATACCACTAGGTGAACAGAGGCATGTGGAGTAAAGAAACTTGGCTAAGGTTTCGTCCTGCCCGGGAATCGAACCTGAGTTCTCACGCTTGCGAGGCGAGTGCTCTAACCACACGTCCTTTCAGCTTGGTCTAAAGCACTGTGCCCCCCCTCTCTCTCCTTCACCTCGCTCCCCTCAACCCCGTATAATGCGTTACAATAATGAAGATGGGGTTTCTGGGAGGATATATGAACTAGAATGTCCCTTTAAGGATATCATAGAAAATGTGCACAGAAAAGCACAGTATTATATTCCTTGCCTTTAGGATCCTGTGGATGGCCACAGGGGGAATAAATGTCCAGAGAGAAAGTAATAAAAATGATTTTTTTTAAAAAAAAACAATTTCACAACTGTTTTCACAAAGCAACAGAGCAAATGCGAGCGAGTGGTGAGAGCGTGTGTGTATTAATAACAATAATGATCCTCGTAGTTGATACAGCGCCTTATCACGTCGTTGAGACGTCTCAAAGCGCTTCACAGAATATACTGTAAAATAAATTGACTTGGTATTTTGTTAGCGAAATAAGAGGAAGGGGTTAGGGGGTATATTTGATATCAGCACGCCCGCCCCTCACAAAAAAAATAAAAAAATCAATAACGCTAATAATAATTGCAACAACCATCAAAAATAGTGATTTAATAATAATCAAAAATAATGTTTTATAATAAGAATCTAAAAAAGTTTATTTTACAAAAAGAACATACTAAATACCAGTAAATCCCCCACGGAGAATTCCTCTTGAAAAGTATCAACATCTTTTTTTAAACGATAAAAAGAGCATTGTTTTCTCTCTCTCTCTCTCTCTCTCTTCTCCACTGACGATTATCTTATCCGATGGTTTCTCTTTCCCCCTCTCTGTCTTCCTACCTCTCTCTGCGCTGAAGGACGTCTCGTGGTTTCAATTATATTTGCTTTTGGTGTATGTTTATGTGCATGTTTAGTCCTGTAGCATATTGGTTAGATCGCTCGCTTCGCAATCAGAGGACCTGGATTCAATTCCCGGGAGGGCAAAATGTTAGGCAAATTTTCTTACGCTACCCGTTCAGTTTACCTCGCAGTAATAGGAACCTGGTTGTTAGTAAGTTGGCTGATCGTTTGTCCCGGGGTAATAATCCCTTCAAAAATAAAATATATATATTTTTAATAATCTTGTGACTCAATTCACAACTGTTTGTGGGACACTGCTGAGCGGAATTGGCTGCCGTATGTCGCCCACGAAATACACTTTACCGTATATTTAGTTTACAGTATATTCTGTGAAGCTCTTTGAGACATCTCAAAGATGTGATAAAGCGCTATATTGGAGTTTAGTAGCTCAGTGGTTAGAGCATTCGCCTCGCAAGCGAGAGATCTGGGTTCGATTTCCGGCAGGGCGAAACCTTGGGCAAGCTTATTGACTCCACACGCCTGATAATAATCCTTCAAAAAAAATAAATAGAATTGGTCACTTCAATCCATGACTGTTTGTGGGACGCTGCTGTGCGCAATTAGCTGTCGAATTTCACCCACAAATATACAGACAATTCACTTTATAGTCTGCTCTGTGAAGCGCTTTGAGACGTCCAGAAGACACGAAAAAGCACTATATCAAATAGAAGGATTATTATTGTTATTATATCAAATGCAAGATAAATATTATTAAGGTGGTGTGATACACAGGTGCACATACAATCCAGAGAGAGAGATAGAGAGAGAGAGAGAGAGGGAGAAAAAAGGCCTTGTTTTATTCAATTTATTGAATTCCCCCAAATTTTGCCGAACAGAAACAATCATTGAGAGGTGAGATGTTTCTCTGTTAAGTCTTAAGCTGCAGTAAATTCAGGTGCGAGTGTATGTATGTGGGAGTGAGGAGAGATTAAAGTAAGCAGTATTCACAGTTTGCAGATATAACGATTGACTTAAGCTATTTTTTTGAAGCGCCTCTTATTTGTTATTCACAAGCAAATTCATTTCAAAATCCTGTCTCTCTCTCTCTCTCTCTCTCTCTCCCTCTCTCTCTGTCTCTTCTTCCCCGAGGTTTAATGGGAACAATAATATGAGTCCAGCTAAAAAAAATTAGAAGGATCTTGAACGAAAAAATTGCGTCTTGCTCTTTCAGTGCAACATCTATTGCAGGGGTGTGCGCAAAGTTGGGGAAATATTTCTTGTCGAGCAGATGCCTTGGAATTGTGTTAATCCTGGATTTAGGGGAACTGACTGAACTCGTGTGAAACATTTATCTCGAGTTTTGGCATCAGAAGGTTCTGTGCACACCTGACCGAGTAGATCAGTGGCTGACTCAGTTTTGGCAAGGTTTTCAGTTTTTGCATCATCCACCCTCATCGCTGTAAACGTCCCCCCCCCCTCCCCCCACCACCACCTTTTGAATGATCGTTCCGATCTTTAGAAATTGCCTTGTGTGTAAAAAACACACTCGCCCCTTGTCCTTGCCTCAAATCTGTCAGCGAGACAGAGAGAGGAAGGGTAGAAGAGACCAGATAATAATAATAATAATCCTTGCATTTGATACAGCGCCTTATCACGTCTTCGAGACGTCTCAAAGCGTTTCACAAAATATACCGTAAAGTGGATTGACTGTGTATTTTGTGGGCGAAACTCGGCACCCGTGGAAGTGGAAGGCGCTAAAAAAATTGTGGCTGTGTCGGCTCTTTGAAAGATCTACCCAACTCGTCCCACTCCCCTGTTCTTTCTCCATAGCCTTGCAAATATTTCCCTTGCAAGTATATTTTCAATTCCCTTTTGAAAGTTACTATTAAATGTGCCTCCATCAGCCTTTCAGGAGATGCATTTCAGATCATTGTTGTTGTTGGTGATGTTTAGAAGTCTGAAATAAAACGTTTGCTAGAGGACCGCACGGCATTTTCCCTCGTGGTTTGTGACAAAACCTGTGCCTTGTAAACTATTTTGAACGATGGGTACACTACCCCCCCTCTCTCTCTATATATATATTTATACTGCACGTGCAAACTTGTGCAGCTGGGCAAGCTTTTTGTCCTCTCTTGTGGGAATCTCTCACGTGTGTGTGTGTCTGTGTGGTTGTGTGTGTATATCTGTCTGTGTGCGCGTTATGAAAAGCGACTTGAGTCAAAGCAAAGGAAAGTTAGAGACTATCAAGCAGACGCCTGCTGTGCAAACAGAAAGACAAGGCGAGGTTTAAGGCCGTTTCAACAATAACATTTATTATGATTCATAATGCAGTGTAGGAGAACAGAGAACCGTTTGTGCCCTAACATTATATTTAGGTCACCCGGGTGTCTGAAACGTGTGGAAATTTTTTCGAGTATCCAAACCAAACTGAGTTCTATGCATCCCACCTACACATGGAAATTGTCAGCTTGGCTCAGTTGGAAGCACCTCTCACCTGAGTCAGAAGTTCATGCTATGAATCATGGATCAAGCCCCACGTCGGGACCTGAACTCACAGAGTCTAAGCTGACGTTCCAAAGCAGTGCTGGTGGGGTATATCATTGCTGGAGGTGCCGTCCTTCTGATGAGATGTTAAACCGAGGTCCCTTCTGCCTGTTCAGGTGGACGTTAAAGATCCAACGGCACTATTGGAAAAGAGAGGGGAGTTTCTCTCTCCCGGTGTCCTGGCCAACAATCCCCCAAATAAAATTGGTCGCTCACTCCATGGCTGTTTGTGGTATGTTACTGTGCACAATTGGGCTGCCAGGTTTGCCTACAAACACACATGTCAGGTGAAGCGCTATGGGACATCCAGGTGCAATACTAAATGTGGTATTCGGCCCAGACACCAGGAGAGACTCCTGTCCCTTTTTGAATAGCTCCCCAGGATCTTTAATGTCCTCCTGCACGGGCACAGATGGGACCTTAGTTTTATGTCTCTTCGAAAGGACCGCACCTTTGTCAATGCAGCGCTCCCTCCGGAGTGTCTGTGTGTTCAAAGCCCCGATGTGGGATTTGAACCCACAACCCACAACCTTTTGATGCAGAGGCGAGAGTGTCAGCACCTGACCCCTGGCTAACACACTTTGCACAGTCACTATACTTTACAGCAGATCCTGTGGAGCGCTTTGCGATTTCCTCACGATGTGAAAGGCGCTATAACAAATGTAAAGATTATTGTTATGGATCATTATTATTAATATGATTCATAATGCAGTGCAGTGTCACCAGAATTATATTTAGGTCCGTGGCTGAAACGTGGGGAAATACATCACCATATTTTTGAGTTATTAATATTATTAATAGTAATAGGGGGATGATATCATCCCCATTGATAAAATAATTCATACTAAATAATAATTAATGTAAATACAATAATAATTATTAATAAGTAATGACATTTCCATTCCAGTCACTGGGAAAATGTCTTATGTATGTAATACTCTCAGTCTAGTTGCGATACTCTTCAGCCCGCTGATGGGTTCCCACATGTATCAGGCACCGCACCCCCACCCCCCACCCCAACAATAACATTAATTTGCCTATAACTGCACAGTCACTACACTTGACAGCAATTACCCGTGAAGCGCTTTGAGTATGGTGAAACCGCAGCGACTTACGGTCTAATCATTACAACAGTAATAATATTAACGGTCTGATTATTAGAATAATAATATGATCACAATTATAATAATAATTATTATTGTTAATAGTGGAGGCCCCACTGTGGGCAGTCTTTGTTCTGAGATCTGTGTTGTAACTTGTGTAACTGAAATATGACTCCTGGTTTCGTTAATACAATAATCTTTTTCTCTCTCTCCCTCCCGCCCCTCACCCCCCGCCTTTCAGGAACAAAACATTCGTCCATACCTACCGAATTTCCCAAACATCCCGAAAATGGTCTGTTCAGGTAAGGATTCGATACTATCCACATCATTAGATAATAATTAATTATTACTAATTATATAATAAACACAGTATATAGTGGCACAGAATATACAGGATAATGAATGTCCCCGCGTTTGATGTAGTGACCGTCACACGAAACGTCACAAGGTGATTCTCAGGGAATTGTGGTAAGTGTAGTGACTGTGGAGTCCTGTAGTGTATTGGTGAGAGCAGTCGCCTCGCAGGTGAGAGGACCTGGGTTTGATTCCTGGGCAGGGCGAAACGTTAGGCAATTTTCCTCACTCCACACGCCTGTTTACTGAGCAGTAAGTAGGAACCCGGTTATTAGTTGGCAGATTGCTTCTCCGGGGGTAATAATTTGGTCACTCAATCCACGACTGTGGGACCCTACTGTGCACAATTGGCTGCCACTCTTGGCCTATAAAATACACAGTGGGTGGCTAATTTGCGCAGAGGAATGAAACCTTGAACAAACTTAGTTTAAGGTCTCATCCGAATGACAGCAACAAGGCATCAAAGGTTCCCCCAGCACTGCGCTGGAGTGTCGGCCTAACTACACGAGTTCAAAACCCTGACGTTGCACCTTCTGACTCAGTGGCCTCTGACTCAGTGTTACCAACTGAGAACAAGACTCACAGAGCTGGGCAGTACTAAGCTCTGGTGACATGCTAACCTTTGTACTGAAAGGCAGAAAGACTGTTTAAGCTGGACCTGAAACTAACTGAATTAACAGGTTATGGGGAACCTGCAAACTCTCGAGGTGAACAATCTTGCTGTCATGCAAATTTACACTCCACTGTTACAAATAAAAGCGTTTCCCACCACACGAGCGAGAGATGGCAGGCAAGATGCTCCAGTAGATTAGAAACGTTAGACGGCGAGACACTTAACCACATCAATTCACTGTAGATAATGAAGAGTAAACAATTTTTGTTGTTGTGAAACGTGTTTACCAGCGAAGTGCCAAGAAGTGCCTTTCTCCTGCCAATCCTGAGGGCAAAATCTTGGGAAGAACTCATCTTCTTACGTCCACAAAATATACAGTCACTATACTTTACAGCGTATTCTCTTTGAGATGTCTCGATGATGTGAAAAGGCACTATGTAAATGCAAGAATTGCAACAACAAAACAGACAGAGTTACGGACCTGAGCTGGGGGTCGGGATTGAGGAGGGTGGAGAGCAGGGAGATTGAAAGCACGGGAAGCGAGCAGGATGGTAGGGGGTTAGGAGGTGGCAGAGGTTGGGGGGAGTGAGGCCATGGAGGGCTTTGAAGTTGAGGACCGGAATCTTAAACTGCATCCTCTCTGTGATGGGAAGCAGTGGAGTCGGGCAAGGATGGAGGATGGTGTTGGGGTGCGGAGCCTGGTCTGGGAGAGGATACAAGCTGCAGAGTTCTGGATGATCTGCAGCCTGTGAGGGGAGGAGTTGGGGCGGCCGACAGGCAGGGAGTTTGCATAGTTGAGCCTCGATGTAATGAAAGCGTGTATGAGGGTTTCGGTGGCCTGCGGCGTGAGACAGTGGCGGAGGCAGGCGATGTTTCGGAGGTGGGGAAGGCAGAGCGGGTCATGGCGCAGATGTGAGGTAGAAAGTATAGTTGAGGGTCAAACAAGACCCCAAGGTTCCGGACTGGCTCAGTGAGGGGGAGTGAGCCCCATGGAGGGTGATGCTGTCAGCGCCTGAGGTGAGGAGGCGCTGACGGGAGCCAATCAGGAGAGCCTCGGTCTTGTTGACGTTTAACTGAAGAAAGTTACTCATCCAGGACTTGATGTCTGACACACATTCTGTCTGGACAGCAGTGGTCCTGGAGTCAAGGCTGGAGGCAGAGAGATAGAGTTGGATGTCATCCGCATACATGTGGAAGTTCACCCTATGTCTGCGGATGATGGGGTCAATGATTATTATTATTATACTGGTCTAGATTTATGTCAAAGCTTTAAGCTTTCGCCCACAAAATATACCATCCATTCACTTTACAGTATATTCTGTGAAGCATTTTGAGGCGTCTCAATGATGTGATAAGGCGCTGTATCAAATGCAAGGATTATTATTTTTGACTTTGGTGCTTCAAGCGTAAGGTGTAAAGTACTTTAAAGTACTTTATTTCAACTTCACGTAACTTTCTGCTAAAGTGAAACTCCTAAACTCCACAGCTTTACACAAGGGTTGAAATCTCTGCTGCACTGCTGTCCAACCTCCAGAAAATGTCTGACGCTCCAGTGCAGTGCTGGGGACGGGCGCTGCATTGTCAGAGGTGCCGTCACTGAGATGAAATGTTAAAGCAAGTCCCGTCTGCCTGTTCGGACGGATGTGAAAGATCGCACGGCGCTAAATCGAAAAGAGAATGGAGTTTCTCGCTCCTGGTGTCCTGGCTGGCAATCCCCAAGATAGCATTGGTCACTCACTTCAGGGCTGTTTGTGGGACATTTCTGGTTGACAAAATACACAGTCACTGCACTCCACAACGCATGAAGCACTTTCAGGCGTCCCGACATGAAAGGCACAATATCAAAGCAAGATAGTGCTCTCACTTCTGAGTCAAAAGGTCGAGCATTCAAGGCCCACGTCGGGACTTTGAACTCACACTTATGGTTGAGGTTGACACTGTGATGTAGTGATGGAGATGTGTTCCTATTCCTCTCACCCACACATCTCCGTTCTCTTCTCCAACAATGACACACTCTCCCATCGCTGCACTGGAGTGTGGATGAAAGTCCCAATGTGGGGGAGTTGAAACCACGGCCTTCTGACTGAGACCTGAGAGGACTTCCTACCTCCCAGCACTGCATTCGAGTGTAGTTAAAGCGTAGTGACTGTGTATTGTGTCAACCAGCTTGTGCCGGGTTTTATACATTCTATTCCTAAAATTATATTTTTGGAAAGCTTTTCGTGTCAGGTGTGTTTTGCATGTCAAGTGCTACATAATTATTATTATTATTATTATTACATCAATCCAATTCATTATCATATTCCATCCATCTTTATGTAAATACAATTATTCCAATCTACTCCCACGACGTGAATAATAATAACAATAATCATTGCTTTTGATATAGTGCTTTTCACGTCTTCTCGACGTCTCAAAGCACTTCACAGAATAGACTGTAAAGTGAATTGACTGTATATTTGTGGGCGAAACGCGGCAGCCAATTGCGCACAGCAGCGTCCCACAAACAGTCGTGAATTGAAGTGACCAATTTATTATTATTTCTTTTTTCGAGGGATTATTATCAGGCCTGTGGAGTAAGGAAACTTGCCCGAGCTTTCACCCTGCCGGGAATCGAACCCAGGTCTCTCGCTTGCGAGGCGAGTGCTCTAATCACTGAGCTACAGGACTCCACATGTACGATAAAATTTGTTCCATCTCATTACTGACTCACTGACAAGTGGAAAGAACCTATAACCCTGTTATAGCCGTTGGCCACTCCTTTGGTTTGTGTGTCTAAGGGTTGTACAAGCAGAATTATAAGAAGCCCAAAGACCAGGTTAATTCTGTTTTGCCAGCGAGACTGTGGCGGATGTGGGGAGTTGATGGTGGCTTTAAGAGTGTTTGGCTTGTTTTAGATCATGGTCTCTTGCCACGTAGCCTCAATTATTTTAATTGCACTGTATGAGATAAAAACAACAAGATTACATTTGCGTAAGGCGCTGAAAAACAACATCGCTCTCAAGAACGATTTTAAAAACAATCACGACGGCGGATGAAACATTTGAGCTCACCTTGCTCCTTCTCGCGGAATATCCTCGAGACGTCTCAAAAAGCACTTCACGGGATGAACTGTGTGCTTGTAATCGAACGAGTTACCCGTTGTGTGTGTCAGCCTGGCTCAGTCATAGCCCTCTCGCTTCTGAGTCAGAAGGTTGTGGGTTCGAGCCCCTCGTTGGGATTTGGAATCGCGTAATCTCAGATCACGCTCCTGTGTAAAGATGGGCCGGGGGGTGTTGTTGCATTGTCGGAGGTGCTGTGGTTCGGATGAGTCATTAAACTAGGTTCCCTGTTCAGGTGGATGTTAAAGATCCCACATTGCTGTGTGCAAACTAATTGTGTTTACCCACAAACACACAATCAATGTCCTTCACATTATATCCTATGTAACCCTGGGGGACGTCTTTCCGACATGAAAGGTGCTATACCACTGTCGGGGGATTATTTCTTTTATTATTTTATTATGTTACATTGATAGTCTATAATATTTTATTTCATTTATGTGATAGAGTATCATTATATTATATAACATTTATTATATTAAGTAATGTATATTATTTACACACCTCAGTATGTCCTGTGAAGCGCTTTGAGACATCTCGATGATGTGATAACACTCTATAGGCAAGGTTTTTATTATCATTGTGTATACGTATACGATACTCATTGTATGCAAATCACTCTGGGACACTACCCTCTGTGAAGGGCGCCATATAAATGCAAGTTGTTGCTGTTGTTGTAAATAAACACCTGAGTTTATAAACAAACTTAATTACAAAGCTTGAATGTTTGAAATCTGATGTATGAATTTCATGCCAATCAACATCTAAAAATGATCAGTAGATCAATAGATGATAGAAGATTTGTGAGGAAAGAATAGATTGGAGAAAGTAAAGCTCTCTCAGGCAGTAAATAGACTTTTCGTGGCTTTCCACTGTTCATCTGTTTGTATCTGTAGGGCTGTTCAAAGGCTTCTGTGTTCGAACCATGAAACACAAGTAGATTTCCTGTGGATATATTTTGAGACAAACATACCAATAAAGAAATAATTCACCAGGTCTCTACTAATTTTATAATACAACAACAACAAAATTACTTTTATAGAGTGCTCCTTTCACATCGGGAGGACATCCCAAAGTGCTTAGTAACAATACTACTACTAAGGATCGCTTTCCGGGGGCGATGATCCCTTTAAAACAATAATTAAATAAATAATAAAATAACAAGAATTTTATCACTCGACCCACGACTGTTTGTGAGACACTGCTGTGTGCAACATGCTGGCGCGTTTCACCCACAAAATACACAGTCACTACACTTTACAATATTGCAATATTATTATTAAGAAGTAAGCGAAATGTTTGAGCCAAACTGTTGCTTTGAAGCTGGATTGGTGGTGAGGAGAGGAGAGGTGTGAGGGGTGAGGGGGAGCCAAGGGTTGGTGTTGGTAGGAAGCAAATTTAGATGTGGGAGCAAAAGAGAAGGTGATAAGATAAGACTTGTCTATGTGAGCAGATTGACCGCCAGTTATTTCACTTGACCACACGTATAAGACGTCCAGTAAGCACGGTGGAAAACAATGTGTTTATTGATAGCTCAGTAACTTGCTTACGTCTGACCTTTTACTCTCTGTTCCTCTAAATATAACTGCTGGAGTTCAACTAGTTTAAACCACATAGCTTGCTGTTAAAAGCACAGTCTTGCCAGCTTGTCCCTGCTTGTCCAGCAAATCTGTTGGGCCATTGACTTGCACGGTTAATAGGGGCAGAGTGGGAAGAATTCCTGCTCTCGGTGACTGGTCCTTGGAGCTGACAAATCCCTACATAATCCCTGACTATCCAACGCCTTTGGACGTCCTCCCGACGTGAAAGACGCTGTACGAATGTAATTTTGTATTGTATTGTATAAATACAAGTCATTATTATTGCTTATAAATGTGCAGGGATTACAACACAATGCAAAAGTCCTATTTTTAACCCAGCTCGATAAGACTTATTACAATTCATTTTTCAGTGTGCCATCAATTAACTAAACTTAGTTCATTTTTTACAAGGCCACTGTTAACCACGCAGAGAGAAACCACAATGGTTTCTACCAGGCTTTTACATTCCTATGTTACTACGATATAATGAGAGTGATATGATTCATATTATGTGTAGGTGTCAGCCTAGCTATGTTGGCAGTGCTCCTACCTCTGAGTCACAAGGTTGTGGGTTCAAGCTCCACGTCGGGGCTTTACGCTCACAGTCTAGGAGGCTGATCCAGTGCAGTGTCAGGGGAGCACTGTATTGTCAGGGGCACTGTCCTTTGGATGAGACATTAAATGGGCTCCCGTCTGCCTGTCCAGGTGGACGTTAAAGATCCCATGGGCACCACTCGGAAATAGGAAGGAGGTTCCTCCCTGTCTCCTGACCCAGATAAAATCGATCATTCACTTCATGGCTTGTTGGCGGGACATTGCTGTGCTCTTAAGCATAGGGGGGTGAGTTTCCTCATGTGTACGACACCCAAAAAATCCTATTTCCGCAATCACACACACGCACGCACGCACACGTTTCCTGATCCCTGGGCTCAAGGATTGTCCTGAATGCTTTCTGCTGGTTTTTATTTGAATTGCATTTATTCTGGATGTCGCCTGCAGCAAAACCTTTCACTTCCCCGCAACTGCATTCATCTACATGTTTTGTGATGTGGTTTTCGGACGGAAGATCTTCTGAGTCCCCACAATCACATGGTAGCAATTGTTCTCCTAAATCAGAAGGTCATGGGTTTGAGGTGTCCTCACGGCCAACTGAACCCAGAGTCCAGGCAGACATTCCAAAGTAACTATCAGAGGTGACATCCCTTGGACGCAAAATTGGTCAACACTCGGGGGTTTGGTGGATTTGAAAGCATCTCCTCAGCTGCAGAATATTTTGTGGTGAAATAAGGAACCCAGTTAAGAAATGTCGCCGACTAAATCCGCATAGAAAACGATGTAGAATTACTTAAATCGAATGAGAATACAGTGATTAATACAGGGGGAAGATCGTACAATAATAATCCTTGCATTTGATTTGGGCCCTAAACACTTGTTTTACCATTTCAAAGAGTTTCTCAGGACTTGCTGCTCAGTGCAGTGACTGTGTATTTTGTAGGTGAAAGCAGCGCTCGTTTTGTTCAAAGCAATAATAATAATAATAATAATAATAATAATCCTTGCATTTGATATAGCGCTTTTCACGTCGGGAGGACGTCCCAAAGCGCTTCACAGAACACACTGTAAAGTGAATTGACTGTATATTTGTGGGCGAACGCGGCAGCCAATTGCGCACAGCAATGTCCCACAAACAGTCATATGGATTGAAAATGACCAATTTATTATTGTTTTTGGTTTTGGAGGGATTATTATTAGGCTCTGTGTGGAGTAAGGAAACTTGCCCAAGGTTTCGCCCTCTGCCTGGAATTGAACTCAGGTCTCTCACTTGCAAAGCGAGTGCTCTAACCACTGAGCTACAGGACTCCACAATGTCCCACAAACAGCCAATTTTATTGAGTGACACAATTGAGTGACCAATTTTATTTGAGGGATTGTCGGCCAGGACACTGAGAGAGAGAAACTCACTTCTCTTTTCGAATAGAGCCACGGGATCTTTAACGCCACCCAAACAGGCAGATAGGACCCCAATATAACATCTTATCTGAAGGACAGCACCTATGACAATGTACTGCTCCCCCCGGCAATGGCAATCACTCGCTTTGCAAGTGAGAGACCTGAGTTCAATTCCAGGCAGGGCGAAACCTTGGGCAAGTTTCCTTACTCCACACGCCTAATAATAATCCCTCCAAAACCAAAAACAATAATTAAATTGGTCATTTTTCAATCTACGACTGTTTGTGGGACATTGCTGTGCGCAATTGGCTGCCGCGTTCGCCCACAAATATACAGTCAATTCACTTTACAGTGTGTTCTGTGAAGCGCTTTGGGACGTCCTCCCGACGTGAAAAGCGCTATATCAAATGCAAGGATTATTATTATTATTAATCAGCCTAGACTGAATGTGTGAGCTTGAAGTCCCGATGTGGGGCTTGAACACACAACTGTCTGACTCAAGGGTGAGGCAGAGTCGTTGAATACATTGAATGTTTATACCGCATTATTCTGATTTTCTCTCACCTTTAACACCACACAGACATCTAAAGGAATTCCCCTTCGTCTTTTCAACAACATAGAAGAACTCATAGCGACTCACCAAAGGCCAGGTCAAGGCACAGTCGTTCCATTACAGCATCCAGTGTTCATCGGAACCTATAACTCCCAAGCCAGAACGCAGGTGAGAATGGTATCTGTGTATGTTTTTGTGCTAATGAGCCAAGTCTATAGTCTAGCTGTGGACAGGTAGCGTTAGCTGTGGAAAGATGGAAATGTCCCTGAACAGATTGAGTTACCTGTGGACAGAGAGGTTATCTATGGACCATGAGAGATACCTGTAGTGAGACAGAGGCGCATGGAGTAAGGAAATTTGCCTACGGTTTTGCCCAAGGTCAGGCAGAGAGATACCTGTGGCAGATAGAGATACCTGAGGACTGATGAAGCTAAAGATAAAGGGATGATAGACTTATAAATCATAAAGGAGGCAATTCGGCCCATTGTGCTTGTGCTGGCACTTTGAAAGAGATCTCCAATTAGTCCCACTCCCCTGATCTTTCTCCATTGCCTTGCAATGTTTGATTTTCAAATAAATACCCAATTCCCTTTTGAAATGGTCCATTGTGGACTGGTAAGCACTGGATGACCATTAATTTCATTGGGATGGGGGAGGATATTGCAGTATACGGCTATGTGTTATCCTTGCTCAGCTCACAGTCCACATCATCTGATTATCTGACATTCAGGCAGCTTTTTTTCAAGCTTCAATGAATGAAACTGATGGAGAATTGCACAATCTCCCTCAGGTCATCTTACAATTCCTATAGTATTGTGCGGCAAATATAGATTTCATATTTATTTAGTATTAATATTTAATATATATATTTGGGACGTATGCTGTATTCTCCTGTGGGATTTTGATAATTATTATGGGATTAGATTACACGGCACTTCAAGAAGAGAGAAAGGAGTTTATTCCTGGTGTCCTGGCCGACAATTCCTCCAAATAAAATTGCATCAAGGCCGTTTGTGGGACGATGCTGTGTGCAAACTGGCTGCTACCCACAGTTACTCCACATTGCAAGCAATCTGTGAAGCCAAATGAAATTTAAGAATTATAATAATAATTTAATAATCCTTCCATTTGATATAGCACCTTATCAGGCCTTCGAGACACCTCAAAGCGCTTCACAGGATATACGTTAAGTGAATTGGCTGCATATTTTGTGGGCGAAACAAGGCAGCCGATTGCGCACAGCAGCGTCCCACAGACAGCCGTGGATTGAGTGACCAAACTGTCATTATTTCATTTCTTTGAAGGGATTATTCCCCTCTGAAAGTGATCCACCAATTGACTAGCAACCGGTTTCATACTGAACTGCTGGGTAAACAGAGGCGCGTGGAGTAAGGAAACTTGCCTACGATTTTGCCCTGCCCTGAAATCGAACCCAGGTCCTCTTGCTTGCGAGGCGAGCGCTCTAACCACTGAGCTACAGGACTGTTGTTGTTGTTGTTGTTGTTGTTGCCTGGTGGAGCCCTGGCCAGACAAGTGTAGGTTAATCTTCTGACTGATCTGGTTTCATTCACAGTAAATAAAAAAACCCTCCAATTCATTTCTCATATCAACTTACATGATTCGTTTAACACAGGGGCTGCTTCTGTGGCCTCACACTCACCTCAGCCTTCGATCTTTAAAAAATATAGTCAATCGATCGGGTCTCCATTTAAGCTTACACATCCAGAGACTTTGCGGTTGAATATCTTACCTGTCTCTGTTTTATAATTGCTGTGGATGTACAAATTTCATGTGTTCCTGCAGGGAGTCAATCACATTAGAGATCATTGGTGTTTGTCAGGATTGCCCTGGCTCTGCACAAGTCAGCATCAGTCAGATCAATTTAATTTGTCAATATTTTTTTATTGCATTGATTTTCTTTTGCTGTTATGAATTACATCAGGAAGAGAAAATCCTCGCCAGCCCAGTCAGCTCAGAGCACTCTCCCCGCACCTCCTCCCCTCTTCGTGTTTGTAGGTGACGGCCTGGCTCAGTTGCTAGTGCTCTTGCCTCCGAGTCAGACGGTCGTGGGTTCAAGTCTCGTGTCGGAGACTTTGAATGTGGAGTCAAGCCTGGCACTCCAGTGCAGTGCTGGGGTTAGCATTGCTTTATTGGAGATGCCGTCCTTCAGATGAGATGTTAAACCAAGATCTGACTTGCCTATTCAGATAGACGTTAAAATTCCCATGGCACTGTTGGATAGTCCATGTCCATGGCTCCACGTCTCTCACCCGACCCGCCCTATCATCAGCGGCCGGGCTTTCAGCCCCACCCTTTGGAACTCCATCCCACAATCCCTTCCCCTCGCTCCCTCTCTTGCCTCCTTCAAGGCACAACTCAGGAAACTCCTTTTCGACCGTGCCTTCAGCCTTCCTTCTACCCCCTCTGCCCTCCCTCATCCCAACCCCACTCCCCCACCCCCTGCTCAGGTCCTGATCCCTGACTGTTCAGCGCCTTGGGATGCCCTCCCGATGTGAAAGGCGCTTTACAAGTGTAATTTTGTGGTTGTTGTTGGATAAGAGAAGGAAGGTTTATCGGGTGTCCTGACCAATAATCTCCCAGGGAAAATTGGTCACTCACTTTATGGCTCTTTATCAGATATTGCTGTTTGCAAATTAGCTTCCACATTTGCCTATAAATTAGTCACCACACTTTGCAGAAAAAAAACTTGTCTAAAATTGCTAGATTTTATAGTAAATCCTGTGAAAAGCTTTGAGATGTATCGCTGATGTGATAAGAGATTCTATCATACACAAGTATTATTATTATTTATTGTTATTCTCATTTTCTCCAATATATCTCCTTGCTTTGTACCCTGGCTACAGACTACTTTTAAAGCCCGCCTTAAGTCCTATCTTTTCGACTATGCTTTCAGTCACCTTTGCGTTGTGAATCATATGATGATACTAAGAATATAATAAGAATATAAGAACATAAAAATTTGCTGGCGAAGAAGACCCAGGTCTATCAAGTTCGCCTTCCGCCATCCTGGCAGTCGCTTGACATGTCGTGTCCCAAACTATACACTGTATTCCCAGATATTATTTCCTACCAGAAATCTATCTAATTTGTTCTTGAAACAAACAACGTTTTCTGCTTCCGTCATCTACTGTAAGGTGCGGTGATTGCGTATTTTGTGGCAGCCAATTTATAATAATAATCCTTGAAGTTGATATAGCGCTTTTCACATTTTCTAGATGTCTCAAAGTGCTTCACAGAATATACTGTAAAGTGAATTGACTGCATTTTTGTGGGCGAAACGTGGCATCCAATTCCGCACAGCAATGTCCCACAAACAGTCGTGAATTGGAGTGACCAAATTATTATTGTTTTTTTTTCTTGAGGGATTATTATCAGGCGTGTGGTGTAAGGAAACTTGCCCAGGGTTTCGCGCTGCCGGGAATCAAACCCAGGTCTCTCGCTTACGAGGCGAGTGCTCTAACCACTGAGCTACAGGACTCCACTAATTTGAGCTCAGCAATGTCTCACATACAGACATGAAGTAAATGACCGATTTTATTTTGTCGTTCAGGACATCGGGAGAAACTCCTTTCTCTTTCGAACAGTGCCCACGGGAGATTTAACGTCCACCTGAACAGGTAGACGGGACCTCGGTTTAACATTTCATCTGAAGGATGGCACCTCTGACAATGCAACACTGCATTGGAGTGTCAGCTTAGACTAAGTGTTTCCAAGTGATCCCGACATGGGGTTTGAACCCACAACCTTCTGACTCAGAGGTGAGAGTGCTACCACTGAGCCAGGCTGACACACGTAGATTATGAAGAATTCCAGGTCCTATGAATGTCAGTCTGATCATCTTCTAACCTATTTATTGCTCCCTGTCCCACAGGTTTGAAGGGGAGCCAGACTACGTGCAACTCACGTCTAGCTGAGCCCTCCTAGAATGGAAAGAGTAATTCAGGCTTCGAGTCAAGAAAGGATTGCCCGATAGCTAACTGTTGTATTTGTCTTAGTTTGTACTTGTTTGTAGTATTTCAACAATGTCTTGTTCATTCTCACCCGGGATTCTGCAATTTATCCTGTCATTATGAAAGCTGTAGTGTGTAAGGTAAACACAGGAAAGTGTAATCCTGGATGAATTTCTGCACCTTATTCTTCACTTATTGTTAACTGAGAACCTGATATTGTTTGGGTGCATAAGTCTCTGTTGGCAACTTATCTAAATGTGCAATTAAATAAATTTTTTGTTGAATAAAAATCACAATTTCTACCTGTAGTGTAAACTTATAGAGAACCATAGAAATTGATGACAAAGCAGGAGCCCACTATGTTAATGTTGGTCTTTGCTCATCCAAAGAAGCCATCAATCCTAATCCCAATTCCCTCTGAGGGTAAATATTAATCCGTGCATTTGATATTGTACCTTTCATGTGAGGAAGACAATTGTCCCTCAAGCCATGAGGTGAGTGAGTGACCAATTTTATTTGGCGTATTGTTGTTTATAGCACTTTTCACATCAGTAGGACATGTCAAAGTGCTTCACGTGATATCCTATAAAGTTTAGTAACAGTGTGTTTTGTTGGTGAAAGCGGCAGTCAGTTTGTCTACAGCAATGTCCCACAAACAGCCATGAAGTGAATAATTATATTTATTTGGGGGATTGTTGGTCAGGACATCTGAGAGAGAAACTCCCTTCTCTTTTTGAATAGTGCCAAGGAATCCTTAATGTCCATCTGAACAGGCAGACAGCACTTTGATTTAACTTCTCATTTGAAGGACTGCTCCTTCAGCAAATAATATTATCTTTAAAGTCCATCAGAGGAAGATGGACCTTGGTTTTAGTGTCTCATCTAAAGAATGACATCTCTGACAGTAATAATAATAATAATCCTTGCATTTACATTGCACCTTATCATGTTGTTGAGACATCTCAAAGTGGCTCACAGGATTTACTGTAAAGTGGAGTCACTGTGTGATTTGTGAGCCAATGTGGCAGTCAATTGACACAAACCAATGTCCCTCAAACAGCCACAAAGTGAATGACCAATTTTATATATAATTTGGTATAATAAATAAATAATAATAAATGGGTCACTCAATCCACGACTGTTTGTGAGACACTGATTTGCGCAATTGGCTGCCGCGTTTCGCCCACAAAATATGCAGTCAATGCACTTTAAAGTATATTCTGTGAAGGCTTTGAGGCGTCTCAACGACCCGATAAGGTGCTATATCAAATGCAAGAATTATTATTATGTAGGGATTGGCCAGGAGAGAATCAATGAAAGGCTCATCCAGAACCTCCCCCACCCCTGTCTCTCCCCAGCTTCCAACCTAGAGGTAGGAGTGCTACTCCTAAGCCAAGTTGAGACCATTAAATATTTCTCGGGCTCTTTCCTTCCTTGAAAGTGTATTACCCTCTGCCCATAATTGCTACAGACAGTTTTATCTCTTTGGATGCTTGAAGCCCAAACCAACCTAAATGAGATCAAATCAAAACCAGAAGTAAGATTGGAAAAGTCCATCTGCAATCACTTGTCAGCCATAATTCACAATTGCAATCATTAGTGAAACTTTTGCTCACTGAACTCAGCCTTAAAGCTGGTGTGCAGTGTTACACAAGCAATAAGGCACTCCTGGCTTCATCCACGGTACAGTTCAAGCGATATTTCGCAATTGCGGAGTCCTGTAGCTCAGTGGTTAGAGAACTCGCCTCGAAAGCGAGAGGACCCGGGTTTCTCCCGGGCAGGGCGAAACCTTGGTCAAGTTTCCTTACTCCAGACACCTCTGTTTACCTAGCAGTAAGTAGGAACCCAGTTGTTAGTCAATTGGCGGATTGCTTTCCAGGTTAATAATTCTTTCAATCACTCAATCCACGACTGTTTGTGGGACGCTGCTGTGCGCAATTGGCTGCCGCATTTCACCCACGAAATACACAGTCAATCCAATATATTCTGTGAAACGCTTTGAGATGTCTCAACGATGTGATAAGGCGCTATATCAAATACAAGGATTATTAATATTATAACCACTTAAAATGCTGTCAATATGTGTGAGCCTAACAATCAATATTGTTGGTGGTAACTTGCTTATTGTAACTATGTTTATTGAATGAATGCAACTTTCCTGTCTTACTAAGTAAACGGAGAGCTTTAAATAGAAAGTACAAGTGGCTTTGGTTCATCTGTTCACGTTTCCTGATACATAAATTCTCGCAAACAGAAGAAACTGGTTTCAACAGATTGGTTACAACAACAGCAACAACTTGCATTTATATAGCGCCCTTCATCGGCTTAGGGGCCACTATTAGCGTTTCTTTCGAACCCAACATTTTGGCACTCAACATGGGAAACACCAACTGCAGTTAAAAATAGAAAAAGAGTAGGAACAGGATAAAAACTCCTTGTGTCAGGTGGATGACACATTGCTTAAAAGTGGTAACGTGCCCGATTATAGACTCTGTTACTTAAATGTGGGAATAAGCCAACAGATGTACCGAAACTAAAAGGTGTGGGACTTTATGCACCTATGGTTACAGGCTATTGCTTTAAGCGCTCTGAGATGCTGCCCCGAGTGAAGGGCCCTGTGTAAATGAAAGTTGTTGTTGTTGATTCACCAGTTGTCATAGGGTTAAAGAGCGCTGAGCTCATGGAGTGTTATTAATTTGTAAACTAGATTAAAGAAGTTACTTTTTCCGTTAGGAAGTGGTGGGAAGAGGAAAAATCGCAGCTAAAACAGAAGTAAGAAAAAATTCAAACAGAAGTAAAATTGAAGTAAAATAAAAGGGAAGCAGAAGCTAAACAATTGCAAGATAAGGCTGCAGACGTAGCCTCAACAACAACAATTTGCGGTTATACAGCGCCCTTCAAGTGGGACAGTGTCCCGGAGTGCTTAACAGTGGCGGAGCCTGACTCTGAGCTGGGGGTGGAGGGGAGGTGACCATAAGCCTGGTCAAAGAGGAAGGTCTTCAATTGTGATCTAAAGGAGGGATGGAGAGTTTGAAAGCTTCGGGGAGTAGTGGCTAAAAGTGCGGCTGTCGACAGTGGAGCGGAGGGCACGAGGGACAAGCAGGAGGCCAGAGTTAAGGCTGGAAAGGTCCGAAAATAGGGCTATATTCTCAAGAATACAGAAGAATTAGGGGAGATCTTATTGAAACATATAAGATTATTAAAGGGCTGATAAAGTAGACACTGAGGGTCCGTTTCCCCGGTGGGAGAATCTATAACCAGGGATTACAGTCTTAAAGTTAATGGTCAGCCTTTTAGAACAGAGTTGAGGAAACATTTCTTCACTCAGAGGGCAGTGAATTTATGGAATTCACTCCCCCAGAAGGCTGTAGATGTCAGTCCTTGAACATCTTCAAGGCTGAGACTGGTAGATTTTTAACAAAACAGAGGGATTAGGGGATATGGGGAGAGGGCAGGTAATCAGAGTTAGGTCTGAAGATCAGCCATGATCTTATCAAATGGCGGGGCACAGGCTCAAGGGCCGAATGGCCTACTCCTGCTCCTAATTCCTATGTTCTTATGAAAAGATCCCCAATGGGTCAGAAATACCTACACCAGATGCTGTTGGGTCAGTTACACCACACAGAGCAAAATAGAGATCCCGCAGTCAAAATGGAGGCAGAGGAAATTTTAATAGTTATTTCTGTGGATTCCCGATTAACATTCAGTTTGGTTTGACACCACAACCCGTTGCGTTATGGATTAAGTAGGTTTCTCTTTACACATTTATAGTCCTTGCATTTGATTAGCACCTTATCACGTCTTTGAGACGCCTCAAAGCGCTTCACAGAATGCACTGTAAACTACCCTGCAATCCTGCAAAGTGCCCACAACTTGATAAGGCGCTGTATCAAACACTTATTATTATTATACAAATGCAACATTTTTCACCCTCACTAAACCTTGCATTTGATATAAGGCCTTGTCATGTCATCGAAACCTCTCAGGATTTCACGCCAGGATTTTACAGGGGAATTTTGAAGCGTTTCAGCATTATAGGATTGTTATTATCGGGATCAGAATTTTTGTCTGCTTTTTTGGGGGTGATTTTTAAAATCAAATTTCACGTCGAATCTGGTCAATTTCCTTCTGAGCTGGGAAATCCTTTTCTTGCACAGTGACTGACATTTTGCGAATGCCCCATTTTCAACCACAAAACACACAGTCACTACAGTTTACCCTTAAATCCTCTGAGGCCCTGTCTGTGCCTGTTCAAGGTGGATGATAAAGATCCCATTGCACCATTGAAAACGAGGAGGAAGTTTCTTTTGATGGCCTGGCCAACAATTCCCCAAATAAAATTGGTCGCTCGTTTCACCGCTGTTTGTGGGACATCGCTGGGTGCAAATTAATGATATGAATTTGCCTGCAAAATACACAGTCACTACACGCTACAATACATCCTGCAAAGGAGTTGAGACGCTTAAATGACGTGATAAGACGGCATATCAAATGTAAGGATTATTAAAATATAAATCCAACTTTTTTCCTTCCACAAACCTACACTGGTGGCCAGACCACCACTGACCACTAGATGGCACCACCACCTGCATATTAACCTCGTCCATTTGTAGAACACTGAGTCTAATTCAAGGGCTCGCAATGGATCTGAAATTCCAGTCAGTCGGAGCCTGTGAGACCATATTGTCCTAAGATTAAAGCCTGCAGAGAAATGTTAAACTCTGCCTTAATCTGGAAGCCTTCTCTCCCGCAATTCTTTTAAGAAAATTGTTTTCCAAATGAATTTAAAAATTCTAATAATAATATAATAATCCCTGCATTTGACATCGCGCCTTATCAGGCCTTTGAGACGCCTCAAAGCGCTTCACAGGACATGCCGTTAAGTCAATTGGCTGTATGTTTTGCGGGCGAAACCCGGCAGCCAACTGCGCGCAGCAGCGTCCCACAAACAGCCGTGGATTGAGCGACCAAATTATTATTTTTAAAAACATTTATTTGTATTTTTTTAAGGGGTTATTACCTCCAGAAGTGATCCGCCAATCAACCAACCACTGTAATCCTACTTACTGCTGAGTGAACAGAGGAGTGTGGAAACTTGCCTAAAGTTTCGCTCTGCCCGGGAATCAAACCCATGTCCTCCTGCTTGCAAGGCGAGTGCTCTAACCACGACGCTACAGGATCCACTATTTTCTGCGGTTCTGTGGTACTTCAAATATTAAGACTAACTGGTCATACAGGCTAAGATTGTGTGGAATTTCAGGCCTCGTGTGTGTGAATTTGGACTTTAAAG